ACACAGACACACATAACTTACTGTATGACATAAATGCACACAATTTGACACATAAATCATTAAAAGTGCATCAAATTGGCACTTGTAATAGGGATCAGTTTGTAATGAGGGTTTGTTGCTTTAAAGTGAATCCTACTATTAATTAGCAATTACAGTTAATACAGTATTTATTGCAATACTTTCTAATCTGCTGGGTATTTTATACTGGATATTTAATAATCAGAAAACAAGTGATGATTTAATGCGAGTTTGTGAGTATGAATGTTGTAATAATCAAATGAAAACTTATAAGTACTTCAGTGATACTGTATAACAAAACTTGTGTTTCGGCAAAATGACAGAATCGGGAATTTGAATCAATTAGATATTCTGATGTAAGACCACGAGCAAATGTCTTATTCAATCATAATTTATATACCGGTACTAAACAGGATAACTTATACAAGAATATACACGGAATATAAGACTATTAAATAGTCACTATTTGAACATCACATAAAACACAAATAATTGCTGCTATAAGCAAATTATAAAACATTAATTAAAAATAATACAAGTAATGGGAAACAGGCATGAATCTGCAATATATGAACATATACAGTAGTTAAACTAATACAGTAACTCTATTATCTAAAGTTTTGTTTATTTAAAGTAATTACAAAGTATATATTTATAAATCTATTAAACAAATAAAATTCTTATGTTTAAATTGATGTAAATGAAATACAGTAGTTAAACTAATACAGTAACTCTATTATCTAAAGTTTTGTTTATTTAAAGTAATTACAAAGTATATATTTATAAATCTATTAAACAAATAAAATTCTTATGTTTAAATTGATGTAAATGATTGATATGATTTTAAAATTATGCTTCATTTGATTTCTAATGAGTATAAATTGCGATATAATAGGATTCTGCAATACATTGAATATATTCAGAGTTGATTGATCTCACCCTCACTTGAATTCCCGAAAATAGATTCTGTGCACTAAAAGTGAGAGATTGTTGAAAAGTTATAACTTCTAGAAAGTTAAGTTCAAAAATGTCATTCAATGCAAATAACGTTTGCAATATACAGTACGGTAAGACATTCTGTAATTATTATTTAAATTATGAGTTAATATAAATAACCAAACATTGGGTTATATGGTTCAATGGCTATAAATATTAATATTAAGCGATTACTAATATGATTAGTAAAGTAATTTGAGTGCAAATGACTGAGACATCAATGATTGCATAATTATTTGATGTTTATTTATAGGATTATCAGATCTAATACTAGAATAAAATATTGTAACACAATTTATCACAAAAAATTATTATAATATAATATAATAACTATAAATGGGTTATTCTTTTATTTTAAATAAGAAATATAAGAATAATTTTAATGATTGTATACAATAAATGGTTTAAAGTGTAACTAAAACTCAAAATTTAAATAATGAATAATAAAAATATCATATAATGTAAAAGAAATGGAAATTTGAGAGAAAATAAAATATAATATAATCTAATATAATAGGTGTGAAAACGCATCGATCGATACGATTGTATCATAATTTGAAAACCCATTGGAAGATATGACCAAATTATGAGCAAATCTCCAAAACTTCTAAAACATTAAAAAGTATTAATGAATTCGAATGAATTGTTCCAATGAGACGGGTATTTGTCCGATATATGGGATCTGGTGATCCACTATCTTACGAGCGGCCAAACACTTGAGAGAAATGAATTTCAATGGATTCACATTGGATTCAGTGATGGAAGCGAGCAATTTGTGCGGTTGATTACCGCTGGCATTGCGGCGATCAATATGACCACCAAATTGCAACAAATGGTTCACCACTTCCGGGTTGAAGTTATTTCGGGTGCACGCGATGTGCAGAGGAGTGGAGCCAATGTTGTTAATGGATTCGGCATTGAAATCGCACTCTAATAACAATTGGCAGACCCGGGGGTCCGGGAATATGACTGTATGCGGGTCTTCGATGAATGTATTGGACTTCATTGTGTTTGCTTTGGAAACGACCAAATGTAACAAAGTGTCACCGAATGAGTTCCGGGCATTCATCCAATTGATTGCATTTATAAGAGTTTTTATTTCTTCAGTTTGTTTTGGCGTCTTTTGGATTACATTCAACACATAGAAGAGATGTGTCAATACCTGTCACCCATTGCATCAAATGTTAGTCCATTTCATATAATCATTATTACTCTCAACACTAACCTTAAGAATCTTATCGAAGTTGTCTTGTTGTCTCTTGAAGACGGGCCGAACCTTAAGTAATTTCATTGCATTTGGGAACTGTTCGACCAATAGCTTTACCGTTTCCAAGACATCTTCGTATTTCAATTCCTCTCGAAGAACACCATTTGAATACTTTTCATATAAATCGAGATACAGTCGAACCTTAAACACAATTCAATGTCCATTAATTGATTATAAATTGTCACTCATTTCCATTAAACTACCAGAGCTTGAGCTGCAAAACATGTTTCGCTGTGAAGAAGGCTATCCTTTTGTATTCGCAAATCCAAAGCATAGCGCCAGAGATCGATCTGAAATCGGTTCAAATTTATGCTATTATTAATGCAAATCATTGACAATAAATTATAATCATTCATTGCTTACACATCTTTGATACTGTAGTCCATCAGCATAAGCGGCGCCTGAATTCAAGATTATATATGAATTAGATAATTAATAGACATAAATTGTTTATGAATTATTTATCAAAAAAATCACAATTTATAATTAAGTTTAGGATTCTTAAAATTAAGAACATTTCCCACTATTCTGTTCAATAAGTGCTGCATTTCTATAATTTATCATAGAATTTAGAATTTAATATATTTTTAACATAAATTAATATCATTTAATTAGGGGTTTGAAACCTGAAAATACACGAAAGGACACCAATGGCTCTCATTATAAGACAATGAACCTAATGCTTGTTCATTATTTGTCCAGCTATGGAATTGTTTACTTTACTGTAACTACAGGTAATTATTTTTGAGATTTGTTCAGGGCACTCAACTTTTCTCAAACAGTTTATGCAATGAATAAGAAACAAAGGAAGTATTCATTCTATAAATAATACAAAAAAGTATTTTAATTCTAAAGAAATCATAAGAATTGCCTCAAATATGCCTAAACTTCTAATAACTATTGAACCAAATATAGGTTTATTTAAAATGAGTTTACATTTGATTCAATCAATACCTCTAAACATGAGCCGAAAGATGACATCCTTGTGAAGCGGACCTAAAATGCGTTCGCAGATAATCAAAGACTGAATTCGCATGGAATCCAAATCCATGGCTAAGTTCTCCAATTCTTCTGTACTCTGAAATTCTGTTGCGTTTAAATACGCGGGTTTTGGCACAACTGTATTGGGCTTAACGAGGGTATGGTCTTCAAGTCGGATGGAGAGGGCAGTCCTCCAGTTGGTGAGCGCCGCCTGAAGGTCGTAGTGCTCGTCCAGAAACGTCGAGCCCATGAGTTCGTGGGCTTCGGCGATACGACTCCGACAGTAATTCAGGTTTGATATCAAGTACTCAAATATCTGAGTCGCGCCCTTCAGACACGCCGTCTGCAGCGCGTCGTCACCGTATCGGCTCGTTATCATCGGGTCTGACCATCAATTCAAGCAATTATCAGTCAATACAATCGCAGTCATATTATTGCATCAAATTAATTAACGATTAGTTCACTAGATATATAGAATCTATATTATAGATATTGTCTCAACACTAATGTATACACAGAATCTCATGGAATCTCTAACAAACTTTTGCAATATTTTCATTTTGAAAGTTACTTTTCTAATATAACTTCTATACATTTGAGATAACGCTCTCACTCTCTATTTTCCTGTCGTTTCCATTAAAACTAATTGTATTGCAGACCTGGAGTTTGTTCACTAAATTTAAAGGTAAATTACATTAGAAAGCTTTATTTTGTAATTTAATACAAATCCTTATATGATAAATGTTAGCAATCGGGCGGTTGTTTGAGTTAAATTATCCAACAAAAAATATATTGCATATTTCCGTTTACAGTTCAGATGCACCCATTCAATTAGTTTTAAAAGGTATCACTGTAACTTTTTATTTTAAAAATTCGTTTTCAGAAACTCTTCCCGATTCAATAATGAGATTATAAAAGATGGTACAAAAGTTGCTCAAATTAGGAGTACATTAGCATAACACTACTACTGTATAGTATAGTACTGTATATTAAAATATAAATAAAGTTCTTTTGTAGGCATCAAATATATCTAATTTATTTATTTACTTTAATTTACTTTAATAAATAAGTTTTTAGTTTTTTGATACCAACTCAATAGCGAAAAATTAATACAGACCGCTATAATTTATCGTAATCATTTAGAATAAAATGAAAATTTTTTAATTATTTAAAATAAAAATTAGTAACTAAACTTTTTAAAAATGAGATAATTATACAGTATCCAAAATTATTATTAATTAAGCCTTAAATTATAAAAAAAACTCTCAAAATGTACTATAAATTACTTTAGTCTAATTTCTAAAAGTTGTATACTTTTGGGATTTTTCATTTTTCCAAAACATATGATAAAGAAAAAGAATGTTTATTTGACATTTAAATTACTAATTCATATCAGATGTGCTTAAATTAGAAAATCAACAGGATTTTAAAAACTGCCTTTTTTCAAATGAATGATACAGTACACAAGAAATTAAAAGTAGATTTTATAGATTTACACTCTCTTCCCAGTCTGTACTAACTTATTGAAAACTCCTAATAACTGTACAGTATTTCTCTTACCGGTATTCATAATAGAGATAATCGGAGATAATCAGTATATCTGCAATGTTTTAAATTATATCTCAATTAAAAGACAAATATTATTCTTCAATACACTTAACCTTCAATTATCTGTTTAAATAAACACAAAAATTGAATTTATCTTCAGATTAATAGTCATTTGATTTCCTTAAAGCAATTAATCAATTGTTTAAAAGTATTTGAGTTGAACTAAACTCGTGTTTGCTTTGAACTCAAATCTCTAATCTTTCATAAACTAATCGTTCAATAATTTGCAATAAAGCTACAGTAGTGTTAGACATACCGGCGCCGTTGTCCAAAAGAAGTTTCGTTGTTTCAAACCTATGTTCTTGAATGGCGTAATGAAGAGCTGTCTTAAACTGGATGTCTTGTGCGTTGACATCTGCGCCATGTTTTAGGAGGAATTCACAGAGAGGTACACTTTGGACAGAGTTGATGAGGCAGGTGCCCCCGTTGTAGTTGGGTTTTAAAATGTCGGCGCCGTTGTCCACCAAATATGTAACGATATCGAGATGTGTCATAAAACATGCCGAACGCACCGGAGTACTGCCCGTATCTGTGGGGGTATTAAGTGGTTAATAGAGACATTAATTGAGCATTCATTGTGATGTCTGACCGGAAACACTGTTAACATTAGCCCCGTGTTTGACCAGACATTTAACGACAGCTAACTTTCCGGCGACGGCCGCACACCACAAGGGCGTCACGTAATGAATGGATCGGTCGTCGGGCACCTCATAGACGCCCTTCTGTTCGACATCGGAGTGACACTCGTCGATGAGGTAGTCGACGATCTCGACGTTGCCCTTCTTGCACGACACGAATAGGGGGGTACAGCCCTCCTTCACACGACTCACTATCACTTTCCGCTCCTCTTTCGACAGGCGCTCCAATTTGTTGCGAATTGAATACGACAGCCGAGCGCCGGGAGCTGTCCGTCCACACCATATATCAATGCAAACCAATTAGTATT